GGGGGGGGGGGGGGGGGGGGGGGGGGGGGGGGGGGGGGGGGGGGGGGGGGGGGGGGGGGGGGGGGGGGGGGGGGGGGGGGGGGGGGGGGGGGGGGGGGGGGGGGGGGGGGGGGGGGGGGGGGGGGGGGGTGTTAAATCTGTAGAAAAGATCTTGTAACATTTTAAATTTTTTTGTGAAAAGAAGTAAAGAGGAAAAGTTAACAAAGGGATATATATCCTCCAACGTAAAATTTTCAGGTAAAAAGGGTTAAAATTAACAGTTCAGTCTATACAGTTTGAATTTGGTTTCAATTTCGACTATATGGTTTTAAAATTTTCATCATAGTCCATATAACTTTGTCAAATCTCCCATAAATGTCTCTACCATTATGAGGTGTTAATAGTTTTCTTCCACAACTCTTTTTCTTTGGAAGGGGCAACGAAGGGCGATGAGCTGCCATTCAATATAAGGCATATCTAAAGGTTAAATTGTTGATTGTATCGTGGTTGAGTCAAAAATAGAGGAAAGCAAGTTGTGCAACCAACCTAAGTCTTAAGTCGCCTATATTTTCATATTTCAAAACCCCCGTCCCCAACCCTTTTTTTTTTTTTTTAATACAAACCTGTTTCCTCTTTTACCTGAATACCCACCCAACTTCTTTTATTATTTTTTTACCCAAATTAAACTTTAATATAGTCTGCAAATTTAAACTCTACCCATTCCTAAAGTTAAACTTATTGTCTCTCTTTTCCACATGAAAAATGGGGAAAAAAACCATATCAAGTAAGAAAACTGATAACATATGGTAAGAACTATGATGTTTTGGGAGATCTAACCTAACCACAAGACTATAATGAAATTTTAAAATCATAGAAATCAAATTGAACCCAAGCCCAAACCCCAAGGACTAAAGTTGTAATTTAGCCTAACGATAGAATCTAGAGAATCAAAAAAAGGTTCCTAAACGGACCTCTGAGACAAAGTATTTACAGCTAAGGTGCAAGCACCAATAAACGTTTCTCAATGCCTGACATCATTGATCATTTGTAAACTGAAACTAATAAACGCATGCATTACAAAGTTCAAATTCATCAAAGAAATTGAATTTGTTTTGCAAGACTTCCAAGCATAGTTTCTTTGAATTAAATTACTACAGTTGGTCTATAGGAATTATGCAGCAATCGTGGCTAACAATTTACCTGAGTGTGGTTCCTGGATTGTAGAGTGGATTTCTCACTGCATATTCAACATACAAATTGTATATGTACTTTAATGAATCCCTTAAATCACCGGTTCTAGGATGGGTAACCAGGATAATCTGAAAACAAAAGAAACAATCCATCATTTTAAACAAAATTGAACTTTAAACTAAATTATCAATCAAGCAATGCAACACTATAGTTCAAGGCAAGGATCCCCATTTTGCACCACAGGTTAATTATTTCTCAAAAGCAGCAATTTTAAAACAGCAGCTTCACAGTGCTTCTTCAAAGAGTCCAACTTCAACTCTTCAAGAATAAAACAAGAAACAAAAAGGAGGTTCATTGGAAGTACTAATTATCACCAAGGAAACTGAACTTTATTAGAACAAGACAGAAAAGCAAGAAGAAAGTGTAGAGAAGAAAGACCCCAACCCCGTTCTGCCTTGTCAAATAACGATGATAATAACAATGAATAAATTTACAAAATGACATAAGCCAAACATTAGTTTCATTAAGTGATATAGCAAGATATTTAACTAAACAATTCAAGTAGACATGCATGAACCTACAGCGGCTAATATGAAAGAGAACAGAGAAAGGAAGGTTGAAATAACCTTTATCCCTGATGGAGTTTCAGTAAAACTGAGCTTGTAAGTATTTGTACGAAAACTGTGAAATGAACAACCTTGGCCAGGCAACTGAGGCACTCCAAGATTGCCTTTATCAGCACTATACCAAAAAATGAAAAAAAAGAAGGCCATCACTTCAAATTCAGAATGTAACTCCCAAAAGAAGCTCAACTCTTCTCAATAAGATAAGACTTAAAAGTCGAAATCTAAATCTACAACAAATTAAACATGATATTAGTTATTGCCACCAGACCATAAAGGAGCACTGTATTTGTTGAGTTATTAAGACATAAAAATATGGTTCGTATCAATTTCCCATCTTGTTGGATCATTCCTTTTAACTAGGCACCCCAAAAACCAAAGTAATTTCCTAGTGAAGGAAGAAAGATAAACCTGGTTGGGTCCATCTTGGCAGTAAAGGATTTGAGCGAGAAGAGCAAACCAAACATAAGTTTGTGGTCTTGCTGGGGATTCAATGTCCGAAGAGGCCGGTTCCACTCCCTGTAAAACAAGCAAACTCCACTCCTATTGAAAATATACATCATATGCACATTATTTCCAGTTGCTGTTGGGACCGGAGGCGAAGGGCTAATCTCTGACCCACCAAAGAACTGCATGTTCCTGGGAAAGACAAAATTGAATCAAAACAATGATCATACGAAAATGGTCTAAGAATCTGAAAATCTGACCAAACTCCCAACATTTTCACTCGACTCGTTTCTTCCCCGCTTCTTCAATTACCTGACTCGTTTTCTCTGGTAGGATTGCAAGGGAGGTGATCAGAAAAACAATAAATACATGGGATCTAATCCAGTATAGGGGAAGAAAATAATAAATTGGAAAAATTATAATTTATAGAGATTAAAACAAAAATCGCCAATCGCTAATGTGTAAAATCTAAGCCGAATCAGATCAGGATTCAATACAGCAAAAATCTGTATGGCTCGACCTAAAGAAACAGATGCATTTCCTTTTAGCTTTTCCACAAACCACTCATTGCAGTTATAAACAAATCTAGTGTCAAATTCGGAATCCTATTCATTCAGAGTTCCAACTAAAGGAAGAACGAAATTGCAGAGAACGTACCTAGACTGGAGAGAGTTCGTGATGGAGCAGGAGGGTGACAAATTCAAGAAGGAGAATCAACGGAGTCGAGAAAGATGAAACCTCTGAGAGCAAAGCTGGCAGAAAAGAGGCTGCGATGGATACAATGACCCAATTCTTAATCCGTCAAGCAATGATTACCGGCGACAACGGCAGCAGATCGGAGCTTCACGGCGCCAAACTCTTCCGATGATACGCTAATCGCTCTCTGGTAATCAATCGCTGCGCGCCAAGTCGAAACTGATCTCTTTGTTTCATTTTATCCCAAATTATAAAGGTTTAAATATATTTTTAATCGTTCTAATTTGTAATTTCATTAAATCTCAAAATGGGCCCAACTTCAAAATGGGCCCATTTTATTCCTTAAAAAATATGGGCCCATTTCGATGTGTTATAGGAGGCCCAATATTGATGAATACGGGCCTCCAAAGAATTAAGAAAAACCCTAATATCCATCTCTACTTCCAATACCCTAAAAAACACAGTCGAAGACTTCCCGCTATAAATCTTCACCATTTCCCCAATTAGGGTTTTTGTACATTATCGGCCGTCGCCGTCGCCGTCGCCGTCTCAACTCTAGAGAGGGAGAGGGAGAGAGAGATTTGCATTAGGAAAAGATGAAGACGATCCTCTCATCGGAAACTATGGATATCCCCGAGGGGGTGAAGATCAAAGTGAACGCCAAAATCATAGAGGTAGAAGGCCCTCGGGGAAAACTCATTCGTAACTTCAAGCATTTGAATTTGGATTTCCAGTTGATTACCGAAGAGGAAACTGGAAAGAAGAAGCTCAAGATTGATGCCTGGTTCGGATCCAGGAAGACTTCGGCTGCCATTCGTACTGCACTTAGCCATGTTGAGAATCTCATCACTGGTGTCACTAAGGGTTATCGTTACAAGATGCGGTTTGTTTATGCTCATTTTCCGATCAATGCTAGCATCACCAGCGGCAACAAGTCTATCGAGATCCGTAACTTTCTTGGTGAGAAAAAGGTAAAACTCTTAACCCCACTTTATTGTCATATGTTTCACTATTTGTATTCTGGATTCATGTTTACTGCTGCGTTTGGAACTTTACCATAATTGAATGTTAAATGATCGATTTGTTGGTGTTAAGATGAACTGGTTGACTAAATTTGTAACTACTTAAAGACGAAAGCCCTAGCTTTACAATATCATTCATTCTCCTTCCTCCTTTCGTAATTGTTTTAGCCGTACCCCTTGAAAGAGCATATGTTTAAAAATAGATCAGTTAATTTGTACATTGTGTTTACTTGATTTGATTCTCCACAATGTCTATGGTTTAACTTCAGCACCAACAAGCACATTATGTCATTTAGAGAGCAGAAGCAGAGGGGTTCAACTTTTTTGGAGAATTATTGTTTTTTCTATTTTACTATCGGTATCTAAAATAAAAAATGATGTTCCTTAAGGTTGAGTTGAAAAAAAAAAACTCCCCACGGTCAGGATTTTGGGTTTTTTTAATATGTTTTTTTCTCGCTCACATGCTTGGTAGAATAATTGCTTAGTAGTTGAATTTCTCTAACTCAAGCATGATGAACTTTGATATTCCAAAGATGGGGCCACTAAAAAAAAAGGTGTATTTTGTTTGTCTAGATAGTAATTTCAATTATTTGGAGTCGTTCTCAAACTTTCTAACCCTAGGATCACTCTTTATTCATGTACTTCTTTACTTGAGTCTCTCAAAAAATGTAGTTAATACTACTTTGATTACATTAAAAGGAAATAGATACATTGAATGCTGTCCTTTGGTTATTTCATCCAGAGTCCAATTGTTACAAAATTCAAACATTTATATAAACATAACAAGTACGTACTCCAAATAACTTTTATTAAAAAAATCCTCTTTTGTATTTTCATGCTTATTAACAATTGTTCTTGTAAGCACATTTGTTACTATTTATATGATGCATGGATGTGAAGTCTTTCTTCTCTGCAAAACAGGTGCGAAAGGTGGATATGCTTGACGGAGTATCGATTGTTCGATCTGAGAAGGTCAAAGATGAGTTAGTCTTGGATGGTAATGATATAGAGCTTGTATCTCGATCTGCTGCCTTGATAAACCAGGTCCTCTCTTCCACTCCACTTTGTGATTGATTCTTGCTTGCAAAACTTCTCCGCCTGTACAGGCATAATCAGTAGTCTTATACTTTTTTTTCCTTCTGGATGACAGAAATGCCATGTCAAGAACAAAGACATCCGGAAGTTCCTTGATGGTATTTATGTCAGCGAAAAGGGAACTGTTTTGGAAGAGGAGTGAAGAATCTAGTTCTGTTCAACCACGTTTTGGCCTTTGGAGATAATTTCATCTTATATATTTTATGTTTCATAAGTAGAGAAATTCATGGAAGCTGTCTTTTTGGAGGGATAAGTATGTGCTGTAGACAAATTCACAAGCTTTTTAGTTCGTGGCTGATGTCTGATAGAGGAAATGCCAGTTTTTTAGTTCAATTTGTAGTTAGTATGGTACGATGAAGCAAAATTAGTGCTTGTGGATTCACTTCTTCTTGACTTTTGGCCATAAATTTTGCAATTTTGCAATTTTTCGTTTGCTAACTTCATATTTGGTGTCTGACCAAGTTTACGTTTTGTCATATATAGAAAGCTGTTTTTTCCTGTATTTCTCACACTTTTCTTGTAATGATTGGCTAGTCGATGTGCTTGATTATTCACCCGAAGAGTTGTAAGAAAATGTGCCTTACCAAATACCATGATGTGTTGGATGGGTTTTAGAGATTTAAGAATCCTTAATCTCTTCTAGCCATGTTTGTTTGCAACGTCAAATCAAATGACTTGAAATAGGCTCTGTGTGTGAAGGACTTCAAGCTATGCTAGTCGGAGGTGGAAGAGAAGACGACTTAATGGAGCTCTCTTTGTTCATGGCCAAAGCGCAAAAGATTGGCTTGGAAAAATTCATGGTTGTCCATTTTAACCTACTTCGTATTGTTGTATTACCTTCACGATATCAAACGCATTTGTTAGGTAGAGATTTTCATTCGTCCCATCAGCCTCATGTTTTAAAACATATCTGTTAGGTAGAGGTTTTCATACCCTTGTAAGGAATGTTCGATAGAGATCTCACAGTTCACCCTCTCGGGAGTTAGCATCTTGCTACCACATTATCTCATGAGATCTCACAATCCACCCCTTAGGGACCAGCATTCTCGCTAGCACACCGCTCTGTCTGACTCTAATATCATTTGTAACAGATATTTCGTTCTCTTCCAATCAATGTAGGATCCACTATCTACACCTTTATAAAGAATACAAGATTTTAATATCCAGTGTATTTTTTCCTAAATAAGTCATTTATTTATAAATTATTTGCAACTTTAGACTTGATGAAACAATATTTATATTTTTAAAATTCCAACCATACCCCTAATCTAAGATTAATTATATGCATTAAAACTCCCTAATAATTTTTCCCAACCAAACACCGAATATTTATAGATGACATAATACAAGTTGACAACTTGAATCCATCCAACTTTTTTTTTTTTAAAGTTTAAAACAAGTTGAAATATAATATGTTTGACCAAATCTCATTTCTAGAAAATAAATAAATAAAAACGTTGACTTTTATGAACAACATAAAGTGGATCTTTGGATTATGTTCTACCCCTCTCTTTACTCGACATCTGTCCTTTCCACCACAGCTCTCTAAACCTTTTTTTTCCATTAATTCTATTATTAATAAACTTAATTACGAGCCTTTGATTTGGATTAAACACAATTATGAATTGATTTATTTTGGTTTAGTTGGTTAAGGACGATATTAATTACAATTGTTATATTAATCAAGGATCTAGATATTATATCTCATCACTTAAATTAATAAATCAAACTAATTTAAAAAAATGGAGGGCTGTGATTTCATGAAAACAGAGTGAATTCCTTCATGATGATCATGATCTACTGCTACAATTATATAATAAACTAAATTAAAAGTAATTACATGACAAAATTGCTAAATCATATAATTATTCAAGCCTTCCTTCGAGGGCTACAACCAAGCTCCTCAAACCCAACAAAGATTTCATTTCTCATCATCAAATTTGGAATCAGAATATCATTATCCTCGTACTCCTCACTATCAATGCTCAAATCCTCCAAAATCTCTCCTTCTTTCTCTCCACTCCCACCGTCGTCGTTAAGCGGTGTCATCGGAGAGCCCACGGTGGCTGTGCCGATCAATGACCGATCGGGGTCTCCCATCGTCAGGTTTTTGGTGGGGATTGCAGACGACGACCTGTTTCGGGAACTCCCGGCGAGGGAATTCCGATGAGTTGGACGTGGATGAGTGTGATCTCCAGTGTATGTGACGATGAAAGTTTCTGGGTCGGCGGTGCTCCGTTCAACTTGCTTTCTTGCGCCACACCCTTTTGAGCTGCTGCAACGGTAATAGTTCCTATGATCATCGGAGGAGGAAGTCAATTTTTCCGAGAAACAAACAAATTACATATCATTACAGAAGATTTAATTATATATTATGTATATTTAAATACCTTGGGTAGGGAGATCCTTTAATGGGCTTTTGCCCATATTTACGCCAAGCCCACATGTCTGTTGAGAGATTATCAGCAGTCACATGGCATACGGTTCTCTTCTGTTGATTCTTTCTGTAAATAAATAATAATTCATGACAATAATTAAAAGAAAAAGAAATAAATAAATAAATAAATTTCAATTTTAAAATAATTTTATTATGACAACAAAGAAATCAATCAATTAGGATTTAATTCAATGTAAATTTAATTTTATTAAATTACTTGCCTTTTTCTCGATTTGGGTATGTGAGGAGGCGTCATTGGTGAATTTGGGAAGTCTGGCCGGAAAAGTGGCTGTTGCCGGTGGTGGGATTGCAGCGCCACCGCTCCGGGATCTGGCTGTGGTCGAATGGGTTTAATTCCGTGTCGGGATTGGCGGGTTGGAACCGGATTGGGGATTTCCGGTGCGACGGGGGCGACGGCGGGGGCGACGGGGTTGGGGAGGAAAGAAATGAAGGCTTGGTGTAATTCATGGAAGCCGTTGGGCTGTTGGGGGTGAAGGATGTCGGAAAAGGAGAATGCGACGTTGTTTGGATCGTCGTCAAAAGTTAAGGAAGCAAGACAAGACAAGGCGGTTTCTGCAGCGGAGGCGGCAGTTGGGTCGGCGGCGGTGGAGGAAGAGGAGGTGGAGGAGCCTGAATAGCAGCTCCGGACGACGGCGGAGAGATCCCAGTCGTCGTCTCCGGCAGCCATGGAAGAGATTACACAAAAATCGAAATGAAAAAAAAAAAAAAAAACAAAAAACAAAAGAAAGACGAAATTTTAGGAAATTGGTAAAAGGGGAACAAAGGGAAAAGAAGGGACGGCAGAAAGGACGGCGCTGACTTTGTAGCTCTTTAGAGAGAGAAAGAGATAGAGAGAGAGAGATAGAGATAAGAAATGAAGAAGAAAGATCACTGACTTTTGAATTTCACTAATTCTTAATTATGTATTTATAATCCCTCAAAATCATATTTTAAAAAATATTAAAAAAATAAAAACTACCATAATATAAATTCAATAATAATCTTAAATTTATATATATATATATATTTATTGGTATTTAGTTTTATCCTTTGAGCAAAATAGGGGATAATTATGGAAATTTAGTAAATTAAGTGATTAGTGTTGGGTTGAAATTAATAAATCCTATATTTTCGTCTTTAATTAATGAGTAATTTTAAGAGTTTAAAATTTTGTAAAAAATAAATAAATAATTTAGATACAAAATGGTTGTTCCCAATTCAACCTCCTCATCTAACGGTCATATGCCTTATATTAATCATACAAAACCACTGGCTTATTAAAATACTTGTATTTTACCATGAGTAAATAAAATTTACTATTCTTTTAATATAATCCTCCTTATTTAAATTGTAACATTTAAATTTTCCTATATATAAAATAAATAAATAAACCCTATACCTATAACTATATCTATATTTTATAATTAATTTTTTTTTTAATAACTAGCTATAATCTGAAATGCTCGTAGTTTTTACAGTCCGTCTAGAATTCGACGGAGATAAAAATTTGAACATAGTTTAAATGGTTAAAAAAAATGGGGCGGGGGGTTATTTTTTTGACTTTGGTAAAATGTCAAATGGGGACAAAGGACGATGGGTTTTGTGGCAGAGTGCAAAGGCGTTACCAAGTTTGACTTTGACTAACCATTCATTCTCCGTCTCTTTGTTTTCATTGGCTCGTAGGTTTTTGTAGGGTTTAGGGTTTATCTATTTCCTCCACGCGCCTTTCTCTTTCCGTGAACTTCACTTTTCTTCCATATTGGTTCTTTTCTTTATCTTTCTTCGTGTCTTCAGCACACTTCCCTCCCTTGCGACTGGGGGAATCTTCCCTCCAATGGTTTTCTCAACTTAGTCGGTGAGGTTTGGAATTTCGTTTTTTTTATTTATTTATTTATTTTGTATGGTATGTGATCAATTGTAACGCCCCCCAACATCATCAAGTATGGGTGATTTTATATCTTTATTTGAAAGGAAAATTAGGTTTCAATTGTTGCAATCGAGGCTTGTTCGAGTCGTCTCTCTCGATTCCTTCGTTCATCTCTTAGCTCTCTCTCTCTCACTCTCGATTTACTTCAGCCCACCACACTCATTGACTACCTCTCCTTTTCCTCCTCCATCATTCAACAGATTGTTAGACAACGTCACACCCACCAGACTCGATGTGTCTATTTTCATTAGATAATCAGTGCAACATAAAAAATGAGTTAATCATCCACTTGGTCACAAGAAGAGAAAACAACACGTGTATAGTTCATATGTAGGTCCTATAATTGTGTGTGGTATGTTCTTGGTGTGTGTGAACACTCAACCTTTCTCAAATCTTTCAAATAATACGAGACATATACTACAGACATGAAGTCCATGTCAACATGTTTTTATGTAATAGTCCAATCTCAATACTAGGAAATATTATCCGCTTTATCCCGTCCGTTATGTAATGCAGTGTAACAGTTCAAGTCCACCACTAGTAAATATTGTCCGCTTTGTCCCGTTACGTATCACCATCAGATTCATGATTTTAAAACATGTATATTAGGAAGAGGTTTTCACACCTAGGTTCTTTTTTTTTTTTTTTTTTTTTTCCAAAAAACAGAAAACAATAGGGTCAAACCAATTGTCCATTAATCTTTTTGTTAAGTAAACTAATAATAATTAACATAATTCAACAAACCCATAAAGACCAAATAAAAATGTCAATAGCCGAGTTGAAGTTGGCCGATTAAGATTATAATGTTTTAATCAATCGAACAATTAACTTAACGTTAGAACAATGTTTTGTCCTATCTTAAAAAGATGGTCGAATATTTTGTTTCATACGATTGGTTCATAGAATTTCCAGAAAAGGCATTTGTTAGGAGAATCTTAGGTTTTGGCTTCCCCTTATCCCCTTTGTCTTTTGTTAATATAACAAGGTAACTTATTTCTCCCCATTAATGCAATTTTTTTTCATTAAACATTNCAAAATAAAACAACCAATTACCCAAAAAAAAAAAAAAAAAAAAAAAAAAAAAAAAAACATCTAAACATTAAAAAAAAAATTAAATTAGACTTTAAAAAAATGCACAAAATAGGGAAATGATAGGTAAAAAAAAATAATAATAATAATAATAATAATAATTTTAATTAAATGGCGTTGACTAATTGAGTTTTTAATTTTTTAAATATTTATTTGTTTGAACATAAATGAGTGAGTTTTTGGGAGATTTTCACTTTTATTTTCCCTAAGCAAATGTCATATAAGTTGAACATAAGGTAAAAGTTACTATATTTTGTTGAAAGTCAAATGTTGAGTTTAACAATATTCAAAGTTAAAAAATAAATAAATAAATAAATAAATAAATTATATATATATATATATATATATGGTAGGGGTGAGAATCTGGATCCGTAAAAAATGGGGTAATTAATTAAAGAAAAGATAGTTTTTGAATAAATGGGGTGTGATGCGAGGAATCTTTGCCTAATTTTATTTGTTTTCATAAATTAAATTTTTATATTTGGTATCTAAATTCTTTTATTTTGGGTTTTTTTTTTTTTTTTTTTTTTTTAATGAAAAGCCGAAACATTAAGAACAGAATCCAAACATGTTTTCTTTTAATAAAAAAAAATTATTATTATTATTGTTTTGGTATGTTTCATTGTCTTGTTATTAATTATTGCAATGTAAAGTCTTTTTCACCCAAAGGTCAATGTTGGAAAAGTTTGTTGTAAGAAATTCTGTTTCTTTATGATATTTTAATACCTAAATTAAAAAAAATAATAATAAGAAAATTCTTTCGAAAGGAATAAAAATAATAAAATAAATATTTTAGTAAAGTTATTTATTAGTAGTCGAGTCTAATTAATATACCGTCTAAGTTTAGTACTATATATATATATAAATTCGAAGATATACTATTTCTCTAATTTAAATAAAAAAAAGATTATTATTATTTTCTTTAATTATTACGTCAAATCTCTCTTAATCTAAGAACATTTCAAAATTAAATTTCATCTCTAGACAATTTATATTATTATTTTTAAAAAAATTTAAAATTAAAATAAGAGGATCGAAGACATTCACATGAGTCAAAAGAAAATTATGCGATTCACGTCTTTTTCTTTTTGAACAAAGACCAACATGGTTTTTTTCTTAGACATTCTCTTGGTGGAGGAATGGGAGTTGCTCCTAGCTTGACGCCTCTCCTTCACTTTTACAAGCACTGTCGTATGTTCCAAAAACAAAAGCCCTTTTGCTTCCTTGGACGGTAGTGGGGGACAGCCCTACGAGTAGTAGGCACGCTTCCTACCCACCCACCTCCGCTCTTGCAGCATGTCTAGTTATTACAAACCCCTAATTCTACCATAAAACCAGATCTCAAGCAAAAAAAAAAAAAAAAAAAAACAATGAAATTAAGATTATTAATTTTAGAA